CTTTAGCTCCTACAAAAATAGAACCTACTTTAAACCTAACTTGGAGAAAATGGAAATTTGTGACACTTTTAGGTTGAAAGTAGGAGCAAATTTTATCCTTGCAATTGAACCTACTTTACTATCGTAACTCCTATATATAGTAGAATGAGAGGTTCATCAGAGAGTCAAAATTTCGACTCGGGAAGAGGAGGAGGATTTACTTATCTCAAGAATTCATCGCATGTGCAATGTCACCGCAAACGCAGCGTGTATGAGCGCGCATAATGCAACTCCGGAGCATATTACGCGACGAAACATAACATGTTACGCGATACGAGCGCGTCGACGTGATATTACTACGGGACCCAAGCGAGACTCGTATTTCGTCGAGCACCCGCAGAGTCGGACTAATGAACGTACTGTCTTGAAATTCTACGGAACAGAAGTTTCCCGAAATGTTTCGTCATTTCGCACTTCCTTCAAATAATTTTAAGATTATTTGAACAACAACGTCATTTCAATTAAATATAACCGACTAGATCTGACGACTAACGATGACTTTTCGATTCTACAAAGTCACATATTTTATTACCATTTACGTTCACAATTATTTATGGTCATTAATTATTTTCATTATTATACATCATTTCGTCAAATATTAATTAACAAAAATATAACCGCACAGTAAACAATGATAAAAGAAAGTGACAAAAGCAATTTTCTCTACGTAAATTCGTTTCCTTCATCCGCGATGTCTCTTTGTTCCCATTCCACGAAACAATCTTCTGTTTTTCGCTCATTAAAAAAAGAAGCCGAGAAAATTCACGACTGTTTCATTAAAAAAAAATGCACGGAAAGAAAATGCAGCTATAAAACCTAATAATCCTTAGGTCTCTTTTCTCGGATCTATTGGTACCGACAAAAGCGCGCTCGATTGTGTACTTCGCCAGCAGCGCGCACGATTCCGTATTTATCCGAAACACGTACCTCCCGCCCAATACGTCCGATGCGATATAGTTGCGGCGCGGAGAACGTCGTAAAAGGAGGCCAACCTACGCCGTTCTAAAGAATAAATAACCACCTACTACTCGACCGAATCGTGACTCAGGACGAATCTCCGTCCGAATGAAGCAATCGATTTCTACACGCGCGACCTGTGTGAGAGCAGTGTCCCCGGCGCGAT